AACCTTCACTGTCAGCAAGTAATCCCACGCTGACCTACTCTTCATTAAGTAGATCTGCCTAAGTTCTCAACACCTTACCCTACCGGCCATACCCTCTTAAGACCCGAGAAAAGATTTTTAGGAAAAAAATTTTTTTCATGTCTTTACATTGTTTAGAGCATAAATAATAATAAAAAAAAGATATTTCATTCATAAGTTGCTATGCTATGTCCTCGATAGAGGACATCGGGACTCAATTAAAAAAAATAAAAAAGACATGAATGAACATGCATAGGCAAAAACAATAGATTTTTTAAATCACCAATACATTTTTAGTTTTCAGGATTTTTTTTTTTTTTTACCAAACTTTGTATAAAGATGATTCTCAACTATGCTATAACAGAATGATTTGATATACCATTTTTCTTTCTGCAAAATGTGTGTAAAACGGCCATAAATGGGTTTTCTCATTATATACAATGCATCTATAAGGTTTAGTTAGAAAGAGTTAAATTCGGTCAAACTTCTCTAGAGACAGAAAACCTTCACTGTCAGCAAGTAATCCCACGCTGACCTACTCTTCATTAAGTAGATCTGCCTAAGTTCTCAACACCTTACCCTACCGGCCATACCCTCTTAAGACCCGAGAAAAGATTTTTAGGAAAAAATTTGTTTTTTCATGTCTTTACATTGTTTAGAGCATAAATAATAATAAAAAAAAGATATTTCATTCATAAGTTGCTATGCTATGTCCTGTGGGGTTTCTCATTATATAATTTGATATACCATTTTTCTTTCTGCAAAATGTGTGTAAAACGGCCATAAATGGGTTTTCTCATTATATACAATGCATCTATAAACTAAATCTAATCTGCATATTAATGTGTTTTTGGGGCAACATGTAATGAAAAAAAAGTGTAATATTGAGAGTAATATTTGACAAGATTTTCATAATAATATATAATATTTAATAGAATATTGAAACATAATTTCTTTCCCTATTCATTTGTTATGTCTCCCAAAATGCTAATAAACATGCTTTTAGTCCCAGTGTCCTGATATGACATGTCCATGTATGAAATCAACATCTTGTTTCGTAACAGAAAGTCATATTTTGATTTGAAACCCCATAACATTTTCCTGAGATGTTGATTTATGACAGACAGTTTACAAATTAGACAGATTTAAATGATAATTACAAAATATTAGAGTGTCACTAAATTAATATCAGACATATTTGAAGACCAAGGTGAGGGAGTGGTGATGGTGAAACATCCAAACATTTAGTATCTCCGAAAAGCCCTGAATGTGCTCTGTACAGGACACCCAGACTTAAAACTGTGGCATGTATAGTCTCAGAGAAATACACCAAAATATAATGTCCTCATATGAGGTCACAGGGTCTCAGGAGGATACTGCACAATGGGGATGCTGTTAGTGAGCTGCACGCAAATCCCATCAGCAACTGTCTGTTTACATGCTAACCTGCTAAACACTTTCCCTTAACTCATTTAACAGTGTGAGAGACATATTTAAGTAATATCGAACAAACAAACATTCAACGTGTGAATATGAACAAGGTTTTGATCATTTTTGCTCAGCCAATGAAAAGAAATGCTAATGAGATTGCAAAATTTCAGCTGATGAACTGGATGCTTCAACTGTGATAATAATGAATGTTTCTTGAGCAGCAAATCAGCATATTAGAATGATTTCTGAAGGATCATGTGACACTGAAGACTGGAGTAATGATGCCGAAAATTCAGCTTTGCATCACAGGAATAAATTACAATTGAACATATATTACAACAGAAAACAGTTATTTTAAATTGTAATAATATTTCACAATATTACTGTTTTTACTGTATTTTTTTGATCAAATTAATGCAGCCTTGGTGAGTATAAGAGACTTCTTTGAAAAACATTAAAAAGTGCAGCCATATTCCAATTCAGAATCCTGTTGTTTACATGATTGTAACCTGCTGTTAATGGGCGCCCAGACATTGAGCTGTGAACGGTTATTGACTATGTGTGACTTCCTCCATTTCTATAGTAAATGTGACGGGTCATTAAAATACACCTCTTCATGAGCTCACATGTTTAATCTGATTGAGCTTGTAAACAGCATCCTATTTAATGTTTTGATTATCACCACAAATAAAAAGCATTTCATTTGCCACATATGCTATGTATTATATCAAAACAATATATTGTCATAACAGACAAATAACATAGCAGGAAAAAAGTGAATATAACTCACACAGATGCACACACCAATGCATAACATCCTGAGGATGCAACCGTGGAGACCAACAACATCCTCCTCTACACTCTTAAAAATAAAGGTGCTTCACGATGCCATAGAAGAACCTTTTTGTCTAAATGGTTCCATAAAGAACCTTTAACTTCTGAAGAACCTTTCTGTTTCACAAAAGCCAGTTTGTGGCGAAAGAAGGTGGTTCAGATTAGAAAAAGGTAAGAAAGAGATGGTTCTTTAAAGAACCTTTGACAGAATGGTTCTTTGTGGAACCAAAAATGGTTCTTCTGTGGCATCGCTTGAAGAACCTTTTGAAACACCTTTATTTTTAAGAGTGTAACATGCTCTATTTTCAACATATGATTGCCAGGGAGAAATCCTTTTTCCATCAGAAATCCGACTAATCACCCAGAAGATGCTGCTGGGATTGTGTGTAAAGTCCAGTGAGACCATGTTAAAGGTTAATTTACCATATGCTCATGTCTGCTTAGACTGAAGAAGAACAATATGGCATTCATTAACCTTACAATCACTACCCTAAAACATCCTATTCTCAGACTTAATGCATTTCATGAAATAAAACATATGTGACCCTGGAGCACAAAAGCAGTCTTAAGTCGCTGGGGTATATTTGTAGCAAAAGCCAAAAATACATTGTATGGGTCAAAATTATAAATTTTTATTTTATGCCAAAATCATTAGGACATTAAGTAAAGATCATGTTACATTAAGATATTTAGTAAATTTTCTACCGTAAATATATCAAAACGTACTTTTTAATTAGTAATATGCATTGCTAAGAACTTCATTTGGACAACTTTAAAGGCGATTTTCTCAATCAGATTCCAGATTTTCAAATAGGTGTATCTCTGCCAAATATGGTCCGAGATACTAACCATACATCAATGGAAAGCTTATTTATTCAGCTTTCAGATGATGTATACATCTCAATTTCAGGAAACTGACCCTTATGGTTTTGTGGTCCAGGGTCACATATACTAAACCTAATAAATACAGAAATGTACCTATTTATTAAAAAACAAAAATCACTACTATAATAAGCATTTGCAATTGTTTTTCTATCTGACATTATTCTTCCATATTGAGAAAAACACAATTTTTGTAACAAAATGGAAGATAGACAGGTTAATATCTTTGAACTAGTTAAACAGATCAATTATTTAATTATAATTGTTAAAATTGAATTATTACATAATAATTTTTATAAAGAATATGCATATTATAAATCTATACTGTTTCTAAAAGATAGATTCACACAATAGGTCCAAAATGTAAATTATTATCAAATACAGTAAAAAGTACTTGCCTGTACTATACAAGGCTTTGAGTACAATTCAAATGGAAATGAATAGAATTATATTATTCATTATAAAATATAAATTTGCTATTTAATAATAATTATTATTTATATTGTTTGATTCAATCAAAATATAATCAGAATTACAACCAAATATTTTCTTTTAGTTTTATATACAACAAAATATTTTTAGGAATATTCATTTGACAAAGTTTTAATAAAAAAAATACATCTATATAAAACAATATATCCTCAATAACCTAAAATAATGAAATAAAATGATATGATCAATAATTAGCTTAATTAAATCACAGAGCACTTTTATGGATTGCTGTTTTGGGTTCAGTCTTACACAGCCTTAATTTTTATAAAGACATTTTTATATTCATTTATTAAGAAAATATAGGCTATATTTATATTATACATATTTATGAAGAATAAGACAGGTTTGTTCCCTGTTTTGTTCCAGGACTCAGGAATTTGTGCTCATTTAAATATCAATTTCCTGATTTTTACTCAGACTTTGGAAAGCCCACAGAATCCTTTTAACCGGGTCAACATTATTCTGCCTCACAAGTCAAGCCGTTTCTCTCTTTCTTGTCTCTCTGGGGCCAACACAGCATCAGCAGAAAAAAGCAAGCTGCTGCAGAACAGAAACACTGAGAGATACAGATAGAGAAAGAACAAAAGAGACCAGCACACTGTACAGAGCAATAAGACAGCAGAATGATGTTTGGTCGTCTTCAAATGAGGACTGATGCCAAAGGATGCCACATTTATAGATGCCTATAGCTGTAGTGTCATGCATTACATCGCAGGCAAATGTAGGTCACACAAAGAAGACCACAATTCATCAACCTATAAACCCGAGGAAATGGTGTAGCTTTGAGGTTAAAAATCTGGGTTTGAGACCTTTAGAACCCCACATGAGCTGATGTATATACTACTGTATCACCATTATGCCCTTGGTCAAGACACTTAACCTCAAACTACTCCAAAAAGACAGTGAAAAATGAACTGCAAATAAAGCTGAAAACAACCGTTTATTTTGCCTGGCTGATAAGTGGCATGCTGGCAGATGTTATGCATCTATACTGTTGTTTCTAAAAGATAGCATTCATAAAAAAAACTCAAGTACAAAATACAAAATATAGTACTTGTCTGTACTGTATGATGCCTTGCATAAATGATAATTAAACGAAAACAATTATATTATTCATAATATCAATGAATGCATTTATAATAATAATAATATCATTTACAGTATGAATTTTGTTTTTACAACAAAATTATTTTATTTTACAAAAAAAATCTCAAATAAAAATATTAAAATTGTATCCACAATAAACAAAAATAACAAATAATTAAATAAAAAAATAATGATCAATAATTATCTAAATTGAAGTAGAGCTCTTTTATGGAGTTCCGGTTCGGGTCCAGTCTTACCTCGCAGTCGTAAAGTTCGCTCAGCTGTTCAATGATCCATTCCTCCAGTATCAGTCTCTTCCGCAGCTCTTTTCTGTCGTACTTCACCGTCACTTTGCCCTGCTTTTTCTGCACCGGGTCATCCCGCTGCATCGGTCCGGAACCGGCGCAGCCCACGCCGGGCTGAAATAACACCCTGTCCGCGGCCGGGGGCAGCTGCGCGGTGGTCTCGGCGCTGGCGGTGGACATTGCGGCGGTGATGGCGGTGGTGATGACGGTGGTGGTGTTTGAGGGGTGTATGCAGGGACACAGTTTCTCACACCTGCTATTTAAAGCGCAGCGCGAGCATTTAAAGGACGCCCGGCGCGTGGGAGGGGAATGTCAAGCCCGTTAACGCTGTGAGTGCCAGAACGCGCACAGTATTGGTGAAACGTGAAATCCGTCTGCGCTCATTGGACACGACAGAGATCCTGAACAAGCTGTGCCAGTACCATGGTACAGTATGAGATGATAATATCAAGACATTTTGACATTGTACCATGTACCATGGTAACCTATCTATCTATCTATCTATCTATCTATCTATCTATCTATCTGTCTGTCTGTCTGTCTGTCTGTCTGTTAGCTCTATCTATCTATCTATCTATCTATCTATCTATCTATCTATCTATCTATC